CAGACCTCACAGCCCAGATGGCAAGGACAGAATACCTGAAAAGCCAGATATAAAAGGCAATAGTCCTAAAGTATAAACAGTGAGAAAAGACTGATGAACAGCCACATTTACTTGCCCTGCTTCCCCTCTGGCGCAGTCTGCTAAAATCACTGCAGCATTCTCCATTAGCACCCGTGGTGTGACTCTTGGGGATGTCCTGGGCAGGGCTAAGAGTTGGACTCAATGATCCTTGCAGGTCTCTTCCAACTCAGGATAGCCTATGATTCTGTGCTTTTTAAGATCACCTCCTTCTGTCAGGTTTTCCAGAGCCTTCAGTATTCAGTGACAGTAATTAATTTTCCATTCTCAGAGACAGGCTCACCTGCAGCACAGGTCACAAAAAAAAATATCTGCTGAGCACAGGAACCGTGCTGAGGGTTTGTGTTGTGCTTTATCCATCGGTGACAGGAACTGCTGCTGACAGTGGCTGTAGAGACAGACAGACAGACAGACAGACCCCTGCTGCTGCAGGAGCCAGGCCGGGGGCAGTGGCAGCGGCGCCTGTCAGAGCCCAGGAACACGAAACGGGTTCCAGAATGAGCCACGGAGGAGCGGCTGCACGGCCAGGCTCCCGCAGAGCCTCGACAGACACAGCAGCGAGGAGAGGCTCAGCCAGCCCGGCCGGCTGCTGAGCATCCCTCCCGGCACGGCTGGGGCTCTCCAGCATCCCTCCCGGCACGGCTGGGGCTCTCCAGCATCCCTCCCGGCACGGCTGGGGCTCTCCAGCATCGCTCCCATCCCAGCACGGGGCTCTCCAGCATCCCTCTGTCCCAGCACGGGGCTCTTCAGCATCCCTCTGTCCCAGCACGGGGCTCTCCAGCATCCCTCTGTCCCAGCACGGGGCTCTCCAGCATCCCTCTGTCCCAGCACGGGGCTGTTCCACACAATTCCCAGCACAGCATGGCAGACTAGCACAGCCCCCAGGGCAAATGCTCCCCAGCTCCTGCAAGGGCAGACCTCAGCCTGCACAGTCTGAGCTCGATCCCCAATTTGATTGAATCAAGGACAGAGAAGAGCTGCACTGAGCCAGCTCCAGAGCCAGCACCACCCATCCTCCTCATCTCTTTCCCAAACAGCCAGGTATTCAATGGCTTTATTAAATTCTGCTTTATTTATCCTTCTTACCCTTGACTAGAGGGTTTATGAGCAAGACCAGCGTGGGCAAGCCCTTAAATTCAAGCAACACGACTTTCTTCTGAGCCACCACACCCCACACCCTCCCTGGCACCGCCGTGCACCACAGCCCCGCAGCGCCCTGCCAAGTCACCGGCTTTCCCCCGCGGGCGCTCGAAGGTCCAGCTTACGTAAGAAGGAACAAACTGGCTTTTCTTCACCACCCTTTCAATGCTGCCATTCATCCCCTGCCCTCCATCCTTCCCGTGCCACCTTGAAGGATGCAAAACACACGGCCAAAACATTTCATCTGCATGTTGTCCCGGGGTGAATGTTGTCCGTGGGTGATGAAGCTATAGTTTTGTCCCCCTAAACACAAGATAATTAAAGGGTTAAGGTAAAAAAATACTGAGATGCAAAGGTACCCATGTGTTAAAGATGCTTCTACCCTGACAAAGTCATGTCGCTGCTCAAAAAAAAAGGAGTTTTGACCTGACAGCCCTTTCCTGGAGGACACAGGGGCTGCAAAGCCAGGTCACATGAATCCCACTCCACCAGAGAATCCGGCATCAAACAGCGAGGGACCAAATCTGTTCAATGGTTGTGTAAAGATTTTGGCTCTGATGCTGAGCAAGCACTAAAGCTGGTTTCAGTTCTACCCAGCTGGAAAGATCTTGGTCAAACCCCAGGTTATTTTTGCATCTGCACATCAGTTCTGCCTCGTTAGACACTCCGTGCTGTCTTTGGCCAAGTGGTCAACCCCAGGGAAAAGCAAGCCAAGAGGGGAACAGGACACAACTTTGCAGGCTGAGCATGAAACGACAAAGCCAGGTTTATTCAGACACAAATAGCCTGCTTCAAAGCATTTTCCAGCCCTCATGAAACTGATATGAGCATCATATCCATCTACATTCCAGGATTTTTAGCCCTCTTCTGACTTCAGGCCAGCATGGATGCATTCTGCCTGCCATTATTTGTCAAATACCAAATTCCAACTCCTTTACGAAACCAGGGGGGAAGGAAGCATGGCTGGTTGAACTCTTTGTCCTTCTCTCCCCCACATACACACTTTCACATCATGAGAACAGAGCAAGAAACCCACAAAAAATGCACATTTCCAAAGCCAGAGGCTACATCCCAGTTCTGGCAACCCAGTGGTCTTACCACAAAGCTCAGCACAGCCTGGATCCCCTTTGACTTCTTAACAATACATTCACAGTGGTGGCAGGGTGGGGAAGAAGAGCTTCAAAAGGGAGGAGCAGCAAGGAGCAAGTTATTTTGAATCCAGAAGCCAACCACTGCAACATGAACACTCCCCATCGGAGTTTTACTGCTCCTCCCGGGAAGAGCTTTGAAGCGTGGCAATGGAAAATGAGGAGAGAGCCAAGAGCACCCAGCATGTTGGTTGGGGACAGTTCTGCAAGCACTAAAATGTCTAAGATATCAGTAAAGGCTGGACTCAGTGAGATGAAAAAGGGAAAGCAGAGAACACAGGGCCCTCAGTGGCCTCATGCCATCCGCACATTGTCCTGCCTGCAGCTTCCAGGGAGGATGATGGAGCCATTGGGATGCAGGCAGCTTGCTCAGCCTCACACATGGGGTGTTTTGGAACTCAGTGTGATGCAGAGTGGTGTTAGCACATAAAGCTGGAATTTACTCACTTCATCCAGCTTTGGATGTGGAAAGAGAAATCGGTGTGTTCCAAGTCTCCCCTGTCTAGCCAGTGTCAGCAAGGGAGCCTTGGAAAAACCTTTTCCTTCTAAGGCTGTTAAATCACAAGGCAGCCACATGGAGAGGACACGCTCTCACACCACATGGAGAAGCTGCTGGGCACCTTTGCAGCCATTTTGCACCTTTTCTGCCCATTGCACAAGCAGGACCTCGCTGCCAAAAATGGTAACACTGCAAGCCATTCCTCCCCTGCCCTGGCTGACTGCCAGCCAGTGACCTTGAAAAGATGTTCCTGGGACAGGCTGTGGCCATGAATCACAGGACAAGAGTGGCTGGGGAGGCAGCAGCTGATTTGCAGGGTGGCACTGGGATCCAGCAGCCAAGCACTGCTTGGAGGGGCAGGAAGAGAGGACCAGATCAGGAGGTGCAGGGGAAGCAGCTGGTGGGAAGCTCACATGGCATCTGTGCTTTGGCCCCAGCCCCCCATGCCTGCACATACTAAACATCAATTACATGGAAATTAAAAGAGGAAAAAATAAACACTTAGAAAAGACAAGAGATGAAAACATCCATGCTGTGTTTTTTGAAGAGCTGGATGAACCCACCCTGAAGAAATGTAAATGTAGCAGGAACCAAGAGACTCCCGGGATTACTCATTATAGGAGACGAGACTCTACATCTTTCTGTTTTGCAGCAATTAACTGTTAACTGGGAAAAAAATTGAATAGATCAACACTTTTCTATTATTAGTTTTAAATAATGACTCAGAAGCAGGCACTTCCTTTTTCCCCAAGCTATGAGGAGCAAAGCACCAAGACCCTGACGGCTTCAGGCTCATTTAAACTGCAAATATCTCTGCACAAATTACTGGAGAGTGGTGTGAGTAGTAGGAGAAACAAACCCTTTGTTTTGAGTCTAACTACCAGCAATTACCTCTCATTTATAGGTTCAAAAGCTTGATACAGCACATTTATTAGAAAGAGCATGGAGTGCCTGGATGTACTCGTGCAGGAACTGGGGAAGTGACGGGAGAGAAAGGAAAAATCACAGCTGCTGATGGCCTTGGACAGAAACTGAGTAAAAGGCCAATACAAAGAAGTCTCCCCAAAACACAGAGCTGTCTCCCAAGGCCTGACCCTGGACCTTAATCACTGATACCATCCACAGTCCAGGGAAATAATTAAGCATTTCAGCTCTGAAAGAGTTGCCTGCCTAATCTGCTAAGCAAACAGTTTTTGCAGAGCAATTCAGAGAGAGAAAGAGAAGCAGATTCAGCTGATGAGACACAAAAAGTCTCTAAAGGCTTTAATTTCCTTTGGGAAGCAGCCCACATGCTCCCAGCACAGTGGGAACCATCACTCCTGCAGCAGGTCCCAGCAAGGCAGATGATCAGATCTGCATCAGCCATTTGGAATAAGCAGAAAGGCAGCAGATGAGGACGTGGTGTCACAAGCAGTAGCTGGAATGCTGAAAACAGAGAAACTTTGAGTTGACCTTGACATCTGCTTATTGAAAGAAACCTTTTGGATCTTTTTCTCTCAGGGATAAGAATCTGCATCCCTGCTACGTTCTCTTAAAGTGTGCACAGGGATGATGAGGACACAGCACAGATCTCAAGGGACCTGCACTGCCTGCAGCAGTGACCAGGACATGGAGCAGCACAGCACCAGGGCCTGGCCAGCTCACCCACCCAGGAGCACTCTGCCCATCCTGGCTGGCCACAATCCCTAAGAACATCACCACCCTCCTGGAATGGGACAACTCATGGGAATGCTCCACACGAGCAAGGTATAGGGGCTGAACCTCAGCTTTGTGGACAGCAGTCCCACAGTACTTTGCCAAAAGGTCAGGCAGTGCAGAGGTGCTGTGCTGGCCACCTGCATGCCCCAAAACACCCCACAGGACTTGCTGTCACTACTCCCAGTGCCATTTCCTTCCTGTGACCCTGCTGTCACGCTCCACACCTGTGAGCAGTGTGAGTCACCAGAGTCCTTCCAGGTGTTCTTCCACGCCTGTTTGGCAGAGTCAGGCACTGACCATCCCACTGCCTCAAGCCCATCTTGAAGTGACCACCAGCAGACCTGGCACCATCAACATCCCAGCCCCAGAGAGATCCAAGTGTTCTGCAAACCTTGGACCTCTGAAACAGCAGCCCTGAGACAACACACAGAGGCAGGTTCATAATTTCTTGGGATTTCTTTTACTTTGTTTTTATTCCTTCCCTTCATTTGCCATGACACACGCTTTGTTTTAAATATCTTAAATATATTAATTTTTAAAAAGTATTAATAAAAAGCTACTGAAGGACATGATTGGCAGAGTGACCAAGGGCAGCAACCCATTGCAAAGTATGGGGACGTTTTAAAAAACAGAAAACAAATTATAACCCAGAAAAGGCATTTTTTTGCATATGCACAGCTGGCTGTAATACCCTGGACTCTGGCATTATTGTAAAAATGGAAGGGGAAGCAGTAGAAAAAATATATTCCATTGTACCAACTTGCATTGGGAAGGGAGTTAAGAGCAAAAATGAGGAGGATTTAAACATTTTTGGTATTTCAGATGTTCCCTCCCACACCCACTGCCCAATCACTTTCAGTCTTTAAGCAAGTTTTCTGGCTTGGGGTAGCCAAAGAGTACAAAATCTGCTTCATAAAGCTTGTAGAGCTGCTGCCTCCAAGCCAGTGGGATTTTGGCAAACCAGTTATCTTCCCAGCTGCTGGCAGTCCTGTTCCGGTAGCTGGGTGGGAAGCGAAGCAGCCTGTCCACTTTGAGGAGCTGCAATAAATAAGCAGCATCCTCATCCAGCGTCTCCAGCTTCCCGATGAAATCATAGTCTATCTGGCACGGGTGGCACAGACGGTAAACCTGCCTCCAGTGCTCATTGAAAGGGGCCATCTTCTCTGTCCTGGGATCCAGTAAGTACTGGATGAAGTCAGAAAAGGAGACTTTGAGGCCCGCCCCGAAGGCCTCGCTAACGGAGGTGGGAAGGTTGGTGTGGTTGGAGTAGAGCTTTAGCATGGGGATGGCGAAACGCCGGTAGAAGTCCTCGTTCTCCAGCTCGAATTTGCTGCGAAAAGCGGAGATGAGGCGCACAAAGGGGTCTCGTACAAAGAGGAACTTGGTGTATTTCTTCAGCTTGATCTTCATCAGGTGCCGGGAGAACTTCCCGTAGCGGCGCCAGAATTTGTTGAAGGTCAGGTGGGTGCTGGTGTTGTGGACGTGCTCCCGGGGGATGTCCAGAGGGTTCCGGTAGGGGACCCCCTGGTCCAGCAGGCTCTCGCTCAGCACGATCATCACACGTTTCCAGTTGGTGCAGGCCACCTTGGGCACGTAGCAGTAGATGACGCCGTGGCGGTCATCCACAATCAGGTGGTTGAGCTCGTAGTTGGGAATGTCATCGAAGGAGCGCTCCTTGGTGGGGAAGGTGAAGCTGGAATTGGCACAAAACTCCCGCAATGTTCTCTGCCTCTCCACCTGCAGCTTCTCTTGGTCCAAGCTGTTTCTGTCCTTGTGTGTGGACCAGTCATAGCCCCGCACGTTCTCCTCCAAGTTACTCAGCACAGGCTTGTTGGAGCCCTGGATGAGGAGCTGCTCTGTCTTTCGGGGGATAGAGCTGTTCTGTTTCAGGCTCGAGCTCAGCAGCTTTGCCAAAAACTCATCTACATCTGGCAAGGCTTCCCAGTCCTCACCTGCTGCGATGGCTCCTGGGGAGCGGGGTCTGGAGAAGGATGTGTGCAGGTAGAAGTGAGCTGTGCCCACGTTGTCCCAGTAGACAATAATCAGGAGGATCATGAAGATGGAGACCAGCACCACAGACAGACGGAGGAGCCGCGCCTTGGTCATCCTGACACTACTGTGGTAGCTGGCTTTCACCTGGACTCACCTCTGGCTTGCAGAGTGAGGCTTGGGATCCAGCATGGTGCTGCAGAGCAGGAGCCTGGAAAGGTATGAGGAAAGAAAAGTTAGCTGAACCCTTAATCCTTCTGGTTTGGAGAGAATGACCTGGCACAGTCAGAACTTGTTGTGGGCCTGACCATCCCCATTTCCATATGGGGAGAGCTGTGAGAGTCAGAGGTGTCCATAGGGACTCTGTGGAAAAGAGCTGGCTGGCCAAAAGCAGACATAATGTGTTGTAATTTTATCAGTTTCATAGCAGTCACGGCTTTTTATCAATATCAAGTTTCTGGAATTAAATTATTTCAAGAGAAGTTCTGTTTAAAAATTTTTAAAATTAGTAAAATATAATGGTTTCAGGCTTGGAGCTTACAGAGGAGAGCTGGCTGGCCAAAAGCAGACATAATGTGTTGTAATTTTATCAGTTTCATAGCAGCCATGCCTTTTTATCAATATCAAGTTTCTGGAATTAAATTATTTCAAGAGAAGTTCTGTTTACAATTTAAAAAAATTGTAAAATATAATGGTTTCAGGCCTAGAGCTTACTGACACAAGTTTGAGAGTATTAAAATATACAACCATACAGAGAAAGTATACAGAGCCAATTACCTTTCAGACCTCCTTGATTTTTACACTATTTAACACACAAGAAGAAAGAAGTCTCAATCCATGATTTCAGCTTTTGGTATCACACTGTGGTCTCATCTCTGCATGAAGGTGCTCTGTGCTGAAAACAAATTCCTTATTTGAGTTATGAATACAGGGCTGAAGGTGCCACTGCCTCAGTGGCTGAAGCAAGTCCCTGCTGAGAGAACATCACTGACCTGAACACACTATCTCATCTACTCTGTGTGAAGGCACCCAGTAGGTGTTATCTCCATGACCTCTCTTGGTAGCTATTTCATTTTGCCAGGAACAAAGATTACACAAACAGTTCTCCTACAACCCCCCACCAAGGGATACAGTCCTGATAAGAGCCACGCATCAAAAATCTAAAGGAGAGATTACCTTTAACTGAATGATTTTGCGGATTAAGAATGCTCTGATAAATCTGTGTTCGTGCCCAGACACTGTTGAGTCAGGACTTCTTTTCCTGCTTTAATGTAATTTATGTTTCTATCACACTCAACACTAACACCTCTTGATCACCAAAGACAGGTGAGAAATCATTGCTAAAGAGACAGCTCAGATAATTTGTTCTGAGGGGTGTAGCAGGTTTGAGTTTTTTGCTTCAACCAGCCCCATCTTTTCACTGCTGTCTGCTTCCCATGACTCCCAGCCCCTTTCTTCCCACAAGATCCTCAGGGAACACCCATCTCCCCACCCTGCTGCATGTTTTCTGGTCCAAGGCTCTGTGCAGACCAGCCTCGAGCTCTCCCCACACCAGCGAGGAGACAGTGCCTACAGCCAGGGAAGAACAACACAGCAAAGTGACCAGCTACAAGTAGTTATTGAAATGTTTTTCACCCCTCCAAGCACAGTCCAGGCTCTGATTATAAACACAGAGCAGCACCTACAGATAAAAAACAAGAGCTGTCCTTTCCACAGGCATCCTAAATCTTTCCAATGACTTCAGCACAAACCCTGCAAACACCAGCTTTGAAAACAAAGCCACTTCAGGGCAAGCTGCCCTGAAAAGTTTTGTTAAAATGAAGGCTGGGTGTCTCTTCTTCCCAAAACACAGATGTTGCTCCCCAGCCAATTCACACCACCCTTAAACAGCATCAACCCCACCCTACACACAGATGCAGAAGAACTCAAGTCCAGATATGCACAAGTGCTGAGCTCTGTCATTCCCAGGGAAGAGGTGCTCAGTACCTCTGAAGTTCACTGCAGCCTTGCAGTAAATGACTTGGTAAAAAGTCCCCTGCATGGCTGTGCTTGTGTCTCAGGGGTGATGGGTTTTAACAATCCAAGTCCAGGTTTCAAATATTAGGCAAGAATTTAGTAATAAAGAGGAACAATACCAGATACTGTTACATGTCAAAGTATTAGGTCAGCTTGTCCCAAGAAACAAAACATATCTGAAGGCTCAGGATTGCTCCACCCTGGTGTATTTATTTACAATTTGGAAGTAGGGACAGACAGAAATTCAGCAGAGCTGTAGCCTAACACAGGCTTTGCACTGCAACACCAAAAAGTGCCCTCTCCTGAAGCCGGGTTCTTATTCTGCCTGCGAAGGGGAACTGGAGGAACTGCAGACATAACGTTTTACACTCTGCAGAGCAAGAAGCAGGTATTACTCAGCAGTAATTCTCCTTGTTTAGCTAGTCAAGATTGAGGATGGAGCAGATCTGAAAAGAAACACCCAGAGAGCTAAAGGAGGGGCAAATTACATATGTGCGTCAGCACTTCAAACCAAGCATCTGAGTCCAGCAGCAGAAGATAATGGAGGGACACTGCCAAGCCTCCTGCTTGGCACACTCCTGGGTTTGAGTTTTGCCCAAGTCTGTTCTTGCTTTTGATCCCATTTAGCTGCTCAGGGCAGGGACTGCTTCTTATTCTGGATGAATAGGGTGCCCACTGCGCACAGAACCCCAGCACGCCGCGCCTCCAGCGCTGCTTGAGACCTCTGGGCTGGCTGGAATGCAGCAAGCCTGGAAAGCTGCACGGAGCATCCCTTCCTGCTGTCCCCACAGCCCTGGGCAGCACTGCAGCCTCCCAGCACTCCTGCAAAGCTGTCCCAGCCAGGCTGGACACATCCCCCTGCTGGCAGCAGCGACAGGGGCAGACTGGACACTGTGTGTGGCACTCACATTCCTGGGGCAAATGGAAAGAGGGATCTTCAGCAAAGCCACCCCACAAGGCAGCTTTACCAAGTGCACCCCAAGGGCTCCAGCTTGCTTTCCAGGACACGGCACGCAGGCCTGCCAGAGAGTTTGGCTTTTCCAAGACACACACACAGCAGTGAGCAGCACAGAATCAGAAAGACTTCACTTCTATTAACTCTACCAGTGCCTGAGAGAAACCCTGGAATAGAGCAGTAAGACAGCTTAATTGCCCCTCAGAGGGAAAATGCTGCAGAAAACAAGAGTTGCTCTATTGATTATGACCCATCCCCTTCCTGGGCACTTCATAAAGGACACTGAAAGCACAAATTAAAGTTCTCTGTGCACATTAGAGGGAACATGCCTCTGTCCTCCCCTTGCCAGAATCAAAAGGAAAAGCTTCCAGAAAGAGCCAAGAATTTACATTCAAGTTCAACCCAAAGTCACCAGCCAACAGGAACGTACCAGGATCCAAACAAAGCTGCCTCTGTGACACAGTGCTGGCAAACTGGAAAGTGGACCAAGTGCTATAATCATCCTACAGAGTCCCCTGAGCAGCCATCCCGTGACCATCTCCAACCTGAACCTGGCCTGGGTGTGAGCCAAGAGCTTTTCTCCCCATGCCAGGCCTGAGAAAGACACTGTGGTCTGAGGTCACTCGTGCCATGACAAGTCAAAACCCCTGCTGTGTCAAACAACCACATCCCAAACTCATTTAACACCAAAAAGGGGGATGTCCCCAGCACTCTTATTGCAAAAGCCATTGCAGATGCAACGCCTCAGGGGTTTGGAAACTTTATTTCCACTTCACAGCCCGATTGTAACTGTTTATGCTCAGGACAGATAAGAGCTTAAGTCATTTGTGTCTCTTTATTCCCTTCCTCTTGGCTTTATGTAACAACTACATTCCCTTCCAGCCTCTCTGCAAAAGTAACTCCAGCTCACTTACAGGAGCAGTAAGGCCCACAGAAAATAAAGCAGCTTACAGAAAGGCATGTGCCAGACACAGGGGACAATCAACCCTCTCTATGAACTGCAGTGATTTTGAAAGAAATGTGCCTCCAAAGGCTTGGGTGCAGATCCCCTCTCTTTATGCTTTGGGTTTCCCCAGCACTAGGAACCACCTCAACTTCTCCAGTGCCCGCTTGATCTAACATGAGAAGATACAGGATATCAGGCAGCTTACTTGGATTTTGCCTGCTGAGGAAGACAGAAAGAAGTGGAGTAAGAACTTTCAAAAATTCCTACCAAATTCAAATGGATACTTTCTCTTGGGGCACTTCTCCAGGGATCACTGGACCCGTGCAGCCTTCTATACTTACATATCTTGGTACACACCAGTTATGCTTAGGGAATCAGCAACCTCTAGAAAAGTGGAACCTAGTTTAATCTCCTAAAGGTGCAGGAGAATGAGCTCCCACCAGTGAAAGCAGACTGTACCAATAAAAAAAAAATTCATGCACTTGGCTATCACTCAACACACTGCATCTGCCCAGCCTCCCAAAAGCCTAGCACCCTTTGCAGAGCAAGGAAGTTTTAACCCATCAAATGACACCAATACTTCCACTAGTATAAATGTACATCATGAGCAAAAAACAGAGCTGCTTTGCATGTTGCACCACAACTTAGCCCACGTATGCTAGAGACCAGCAGAAGAACATCCTAGTCTACAGTCTGCCAGCCCCTTGCCCACCGCTGCTGCCACAAAGCCTGGTTTGTACAGGCTTAGCAGCACTTGTCACCTCTTTTTTTAATATCCATACTTAGAAGTTGTCGCAATTTCCTAAATTTCAGGAGGAAACTCCCCAGACGCAGGACATACTGTTCATCCATCACTTTTATCACAAACTTCCAGCACGCGCACCATCCCTGGCTCCACAATGGCAGGAAGCACCTCGGGCAGCCCCGCTGCTGCAGCCGGGCCAGCAACACCCGGGGACATTCGCTGTGTGTCACCCCGAGAGCCTCGCTGGCTGCAGACCCTCACAAACACCTGGTTCCGGCAGCTTCCAGCCTGAGCTCTGCAGGGAAGCTCAGGCTGGAAGAAGAGCGCTTTGGGCTCCCCGCGGACCCCAGAGCCGGGCTGTGCCGTCGGGAGAAGCTGCATGCCGGCACCGCTCCCGCAGCCGCCGATCCCCGCCCGGCAGGGCTGCACCAGCCTCGGGCCCAGCACCGGGGCTGCGGGCACTCACAGAACCACCGAGGCTGGAAAACACCTCTAGGATCCAGCCCCACGATCAGCCTGACGCTGTCAAACCGTGACCCCGAGTGCCACATCTCCATCATCTACCTCCAGGGACGGGGACACCAGCACCTCTCCGGGCAGCTCGCTCCCTGGGGCAGCTTGAGGCTGTTCCCTCTTCTTCTGTTTTTTGCTACTTGCGAGAAAAGACCGACACCCACCTGTCTGACACCTCCTGTACAGAGCGATGTGGCTAAAGGCTCCTCCTTTAACCCAGCTAAACCCCCCCCAGCTCCCTGGGGAGCGTCCAGCGGGGGAGGTACCGCGTGTGTGAAGGGGCGCTGCCCCGCAGAGCCCCGCGTCCCGCCGGAGCCGAGCCCTACCTGGCACCGGGGAGAGCAGCGAGAGCCGCGCTCATAACCGGGAGCCGGTCCGGCCCCAGGGCGGCCCCGCCTCAGCGAGCCCCGCCCGGCCCCTGGGACAACCCCCGAGCCCTGCCCGGCCCCGCGCTCACCTCCCGCCCGGGCACCGCAGCCTTCGCCTTCTTCGCCTTCTTCCCCTTCTCCTTCCCTCCTCCTCCTCCTGCCGCGCTCCCGGCGCCGCCTCTCGCGAGACGCCGCGCGCGGGGGTCCCCGCGGGGCCGCGCAGGCGCCGCTCCGCCCGCCAGGGGCGGCCCCGGCCGCGCGCCCGCCCTCGCCTGAGGGAGCGCGGGGGTGGCGGCTGAGGGGCGGCTGCCGAGGGCGCTCACAGCCTCCCGGCGTGAGGGGAAACGGCCACAAACTAAAACACAAGATTCGCCCCAACGTGTGGGAGAGCTGCCTGCCATGGAGCGGGGCAGAGCGCTGGAATTGGGTGGCCAGGGAGGGTGTGCGGATCCCTCTCTGGAGATAGCCCACATCCATCTCGGCGCGTTGCTGTGTCACCTGCTTTAGGTGGCTCCTCCGTGGCAAGGGGTTTTTCAGAGGTCCCTCCCAACCTTGAAAATTCTGTGATCTTGTAAAAATTTAACGTAAAGCTCACTTTTAAATGAATTACAAGTTACCACACGGTAACCCTGTGTGGGTATTTAATGTCCCTGAAGCTTGGGTGGGACAGTCGTTATAAGAGGCAAAGTCGAAATAGCTGGACACAGTAAGGCTGGAAAATGCTGCTGACAAATCCCAGCACAGTTTAAACTCATTTTGTTTCTCTAGTTGTTTGCGATTGGTAAGAATTGAATTTAAAAACCCATTAGTCCGGAACTAAAAAGTTCCACTTTGCACAAGACATGGACTGCAGCCTCACATCCAGCAATAATCAAACATACAAGTGATAATTTACAGATCCCACCTCCAAGATTTCAAGCCCCGTCTTTTACATAAATTAACACACTTAAAATGTAGATTTTTCAAACCGGGAAGTTTGCACGTCACATGGCTCTGTGCTCTTCACAACAGTCATGGAAAATTATCAAAATCTTTGTCACACAAACTTTTCCTTTGGAGATTCAGCCTCAGACTGAGGCACTTGGCTCTATTCAGCTCACTTGAAATGGCACCAAACATTGCAACTTTTTCACGGTGATTCAGCCCAAAGGTATTTAGCAGAGATGTATATGCTTGGAAAGCTTAGTTTTCCCTTATTTTTGGTCCTGCACTGTTTGCAGGTCATATGAGGTCTCGTAAATCAATCGTGGCTCACGACTTGCTGGCACAGGTTTGTCTTACACACATTCTGTGCTTATTTTATCCTCATTTTTATCTTTTTTATTTCTTTGTTTATCTCAAAGAGTCAGCTCTGGGGACAAGTGTTCCTGACCTTCCCCTTCCCTGTCTCAGTTTTTCCTGCTGCTTTCTGTTTCACAAGGAAAATTGGCTGCTTGCTACACCCGCTCACAGCCTTGCATTGATTGCATCCCCACTTCAGGGGCTTGAGGCATTTATAAAGACAAGTAATTAAGCTTCGCCATCCCTGGAGTGAATTATCCCTCATCTTCCCAACAGCAAAGCAAGAGGCATAGAGAAATAGGAGCGTGTACAGTGTCACCCAGTGAGAAACAGCACGTAGGAGAATTCTTTGCAAGTGTAGTAGCTCTAAAATGGATTCTTCATCCATTTGAAAAAAATGCCTAAACCTACCTGTCACCTTAGAGGAGGGAAGCCACTTCTGCTTGGGGCAAGGAGTCATTATTCCATGCAATTATCAGAACATTGTATTTGCAACATACCTTAATGGAGAAGGCTGCCAGCTGGAGACGTTTTTTCCAAAAAGGAAAACACATTCCCTCAGTTTACATTCAGGCTAGTAATTCTTATCAGGGCCTTCACCTATCACCACTGCTGCCTCTCTGCCTGCAGTCAGATCTGAAATGCTCTGTAGATAGGAGAGAGCTTAGAGCAATCCCTGGCTGCTCTCACAGCCAAACATCTGCTCACCCAAACAGCATTCCAGACATGCAGTACACCTGCCAGCTTCACAGCAGCACACGGGGAGAGAACAGGGAAGCGATTTCTCAGGCATTTACATTTGGTTTTAATAGTCAGGGAGCCTTTTGGATGCATGGGTGACATCTATCCCGCTCTGGGAAAAAAAGGTGGCTTGGGCTCCACGCTGACATCTTCTGGGAGAGGGACACTGCTGGGGAAAGGAGGTTTTCCTCTCCTCTTGGACTCTGTTAACACCCTACTTGTTTTAGACTGAAGCTAACAGCTAGAGCACACAGGACAGAGCAAAGACTTGAAGTAGGGATATAGAACAGGAAATCTACAGTGTATAACCTTCCTCTCCTCCCTGCTCACCTTCCGTCTGCTCTTCAGCAGCATGACACAGAACCTTAAATACATTTTTAAGGCACTTTTGAATCTGCTTCCTCAACTTCAAGAAATCTTGAAATTGCAATCCTTTGGGGCCAAAGAGAGTCCTGTTCATGGGTGACTTCTGTTCAGTCCTGGGATGGCTCCCCAGACAGAGACTGCCTGTGGCTTTTGCCGACTGCTGGCACCATCTGCAGGCCCTGCAAGAGAGGGAAGAGGAAGAACTCAGACAAATTTCTCACACCTTGATTTGAGTCTCTTTGCCAGTCAAAATGGGGAAGAGACAGATTGCTACAGGCTGTGGAGGGATGAGTTTGGCAAAAGCCAAGGATCTGCATGATGCTGCCTCAGGAGGATCCCAAGGTGACACCTTCAGTGGAAGCAGTTTGTTGGCACGTGGCCAACTCAGATAAAATTCTGTGCTTCACATATGGATTAGACTGGGGTTATGAACACCTCTGAAAATGTATTTTCTCTTTCTAAGAGGTTCTTTTTGGCTAAAGGGAGATGGAGTGTAACTCCTTCTGGAACATTGCCCGTGTCATCTGTTGCAAAGAAAAAAGGCTTAAAACTTGGCTATAAAACCTCTACCCATGTGACTGCTTTCACAACTGGACCATTTGTGTTGCATTTACAGCTCTTTTAGTTCAGATTGCACCAGAGCAAGTGCTGAAGGGTGCCACAGCTCTTCCTGTGCCAGCCAATCTGATATTTCATTTCACTTGTTTCTGTAGGTCCTGTCCTTTGCTGTGCTGGGTGGTGCTGGAGGAGCGTTGCCTTTTGGCAGTACCTTGAGTGGAGTCCCCTCTGTTGGAAGCAGGGAGAGCTTTGTTATAAACAGTGAAAACAGAGCACAGATTAAAAGTATTTTGCAATGTATGAGTTGCTAATATCTAGTCAAAATAAATTAGAGCACTGTACATCAAAAGTTAACAATTTTTTAGTAAAAAAAAAAAATAAAAACTTATGAGGATCAGTAAACACCCCTTGCCAGAACTGTAGGATTCTGGCAACACTTCAATAGGATTGGGGTGTCCAGTTCCCCATAACTCCTCCTGGTATTGTGAGCCTGCACAAAGCAAAACAGCTGAAGCTGGCAGATGGTCAGTGCAGCCCATCACTGGTGTCCTTGCTGAGGCTTAGCTTGGATATGAAACAAAGGCTAAACTGAGATCAACAACTTGCTGCACATGAACCCAACAGAACATTAATGCTTCCCCATAGGTTACAGATGCATGGCTGAGGCAGTTTTCTACCCATCAAAAGCTGCTTAGACCATGTAAAAATATTATTATCTTACTGATAGTTCTGATCATTAGTGTTTGCTCTGACTTGTTTCTCACATGCCAATCCATCTTTTCCAGCAGAGGTGATGCAGGATGTCCACATCTGTCAGATGTGATGTCAGGCACAGAGAAATCTCTTTGGCCCCTGAATCACCTGAATGGTGATGGACAAGAGCCCTGGCCTTGGTGGCAATGGATCTGCTGCTTGCAGCTTTGGGTGGATGGAGGAGGCTGGTTTGGTGCAGGTGGCTCTCACAGACTTTGCCTGTGCTGGGACTTGAGGGAGTCCAGAGCTTATCTTTCGAGATCTGAAAAGCATCAAGATGAGTTAAACCCAGTGGTGTTGTCTCTGACCTCTGACTGTTGTCTGCATTGCACCAAAAATATTCCCTGCCTTCCCACCTGACTGGCTCAGCTTGCTCTTTAGGCAGGAGGTCAGGGGCATTGTAGAAGAATAAACTTACTTCCTCATGCAGTTTGTACTATGTTTCTCTTACTCTATTTCAAAACCACCTGCTCCCCAGGATCTGTGCCTTGTGCTCAGCTCATCCCTTTTAGAAAAAAAGATAAGTTTGTGTTCCCACCCTGTGAAAGTTTGGTTCTTTTGTTCTTTGGCAATTTCCTCCAAGGTCTCTGGACTCAGTAGAACAGCAGCAATGTCTACAGGAGGCTTTTTCCCATGGAAAACCTCACATTCACTAGGTTTAGCTGCTCTGCATGTTCTGCCATCACAAGAGCAGGACTCTTTCCACAACAAATGTGCCTTGAATTCAGTTCCTGCTGTACTGACCTGCTGAACAGAGCTTTCTGGCAAACCAGAGAAAGTTGGGCAGAGATGGGTATCCAGAGACCACACTTCCTACAGAGTGTCATTTTAGATGATCTGTAACTGCCACTGTGAACAAAATATGCCAAGAGGTTAACAGATGAAAGCACAGACCCCGTATCGACAGGCAGAGATGGAACATGTCTAGCTGAGAGCTGTCAAGCTGTGGGGAAAGCAAGAAAGCTGGTAAACACGGTGATAAAGAACACAGCAAGGAATACCTCAAATTCATTTTTGTCCCCTGATCCCTCACTATCTTGGCTACTTTTTTGGTTTTAAAGCCTGGCAACAGAAGCAAATTGAAACACGTCCTGTAGCTCTCTCTGCAGAGAAGGCTCCTGCTAAAACAGAGCTGCTTTGCAAGAGCAATATACCAGGAAAGCTTTTTAAGGGATTTCAGTTTCTAGGGTCCTTCCAGTTTGGTATCTCCCAGCTTTGTGGACTTACCTGGTAGGTGCCAGGTCCCCATGCCCTAGAGAATGATAAGAATAATAATAAGAAGAAAGACTTGTCTAACTCAAGGGTGAAGGAGGGAATGTCAAATTTTACCTGCCAGGGAATATAATTCATGCCTGTCCTGCGCTGTTCTACCAGCAGCA